GAGGTTAGTGATTGAAGGTTTGTTTATCGATTCAGCAGCACTGTGCATATGCGATCGAGATGACGCAACGTTTATCCCGGAGATATAGAAAGTAGCAACAAACAACAAGAGGAAGTTAGAGAGATAGAGTAGAATAGAAAGCATATATATATAAGACAAATTTTGAAACCGTGTGACTGAAATTGATTGATGATTATGAGTGACAATAATACATTAATTATGCTGGAGACGTTGTCGTCCAGTTGTTCATACTGCATCATCATTACAGTGTGATATTTCAAAATAAACTTATCTATTAATATGAAAGGAATTGCATTCTACCACCAAAGCGTGTCCAAGTTTTCCACTTATGCAGTCAAAGAAAAGTTTCCGGATGAGTGATAATTGCTGCTGGCTAAAGGTATGTTCAGGTGATTGTTTACTTGCAGGGAGTAAATATGAACTGCAACTGGAACTGGATCCGACCTGTTGGCTCTCTGATACAATCCATTCATGAATAGACAAATCATAAAATTAATTGTATTATATTCTCTAAGCTGGTTGGTTTAATTGCAAAGCTTTCCACGTCCTTCTAAACAACATATAAAATATATTTAATTGGTGGATGGTGACTATCAGTGGAATCCAGGATAAAGCGCATTTCGTCCTATTTGGGACTCGTCAGCTAGTGGATGTACCTGCATTTCTCAGTGAGTGATGATGTTCCCACCGAGGCTCGAACCCAGTACCCATAGTTTCAAACGCCAACCAAGGCGTTATCCACTAGACCACTTGGGCCACGAGAGCCACCTCTTGTGCAGACATCGTCGAAGCATCTGCACAAGAAGCCAACATGTCAACCTGAGACCGAGCACTTTGGTGCGTCGGTGGCACAGTGGTTAGGACTCTCGCCGACCATGCACATGATCCGGGGTTCGAGCCCGCACCGACGCACACCTGATATCTATGGTCGGCCCTCAAAATTTGGGCTACCGATATCCATGCTGAAAATTCCATACTTGTACCGTAAATACAGTGTGGAATCAAGCTGTAAATCAAAAAATCAAATCAAATCAATCAATTGACGGGAAAATCTCAAATTCAATAATATATATATATATATATATACATATAAAATATCTCTGAGGTAATACTAGAATATTAAGACCGTTTGAAATAGATATAGCACACAAGCCAGCCAGCCAGTCAGCGCAATCACTTCATTCAATGTAGTGCAAACCAAACGATCCTACTGGAAAAGAAGGTAAAATTAATGCCAATTACAAAATAGATTGCATGCATGAACTGCAATAAACTATTACATCGGTGGTGGTCAAAATGGGCGTCCCCTTCGAATTCGAATCCAAGAACACAAATTAGCTGTAAAAAAGACGTGACATGATATGTGTCTATTCTTTCATATCAATGCATGTAGACAATTATGGACACCAATTTGATTAGGATAATGTAGAAATTACTGCCGGGAAATTCCTAGAAGCCACGTACTCGCGTGAATCAGCCAGCGATTAACGAACACATTACTGTAAACCAAATTTATCAGCCGATAAGAAGGAAATTACACGACGAGCAAGTTCCATTGGGCACTAACAACTAGTGAGATGTGTCTAGTCCTTTCTTTGGTGCAGACTGTATTCTACCAGTCGGGTTTGCAACGTGGCCACCATTTAGTGGTATCATCTCTGACTGTTGGTGGCATTGGGTGACGCGGGTTTGAATCTCAGAGAGGATATGAGTTCTTTCAAGGTTCCAAATACTCCTTGGTGACTGGTGAGTGCCAACTAGCACGAAACCTAGGTCCGGGCAAGGCTTCCTATGGCCGAGTGCCTCCAACCAGCTAAGAAAGTTCAAATTCAATCAAAATGAAAAAAAGCCCAGTCACGATAGTGGTTGCCTAGAGATATAATCATTGAGAATTGAAATAAGTTTCTTTTTATACTAAAACCTGCGCTGAAGTGATGTTATGTAGAAGGGGGACGACGAAGACTTCGCAGTTAAATCAACCAGCTTCTCCGAGAACACGACTAATCTAACATTATCCACCTGAGCTGCGAATCTTCTCCATTACATAGATCATAGAGTCATTGTTTAATCGATCGGCAGTGGAATTGTGATTGTTGTCAATGAGGCGGGAATGATGGGAACTCTGAGTTTGGATTGATTACCTCAAGCTATTTGGAGCAACAAAATGATGTTATGCAACACTTCTGCTAGATGTTTTTATGAAAGCAAAACTTTTCAAATAAGTCCATTGTACAAAGTTTTTATGTGGGTATTATGACTCTATGACCCAATTTTTGTCGGATTCCTACTGTGATTGGACACTAGCCAGTAACTAATGTGATTTGTGTAGTCATTTGTTCGGTGTAGACTGAATTCTCTATTGTCAGTCAAGTTTGTAATGTGGTGGCTACCATGCTACTATGTGGCTCGCCATCATGGTGCACTGTGAATTGTTGGTATTAGACGGTTGATGACAATAAGCCACAGGAAGCCTTGCCCCACCTAGGTTTCGTGCTAGTTGGCACTCTAACTGTGTAAGCGAACGGAGACAGTGCGGTTTTCTTTTTAAAAGTTCATATTTTGAAATAATAAAGAGAATTTGTAGCTAAGTTAGATGTTTTTGATGTGGTTATTTTTTCTGAGCTTTGCAATTAAACCATCCGGTGTAGAAAATGTCTCTGTCTGTTTTCGACATAGGACTTTGCACCGATGTGCGACATTTCAAGTTACCACACTCCATGTAGCACACAAAGCAAGAGAAGAAGAAAGTAGGGGAAATGCATAAAAGGGACAGTAGACAGGGACATGAGACAAAGGAATAGTAATAATGAAGAACAATATAGTTTCATTGGAAATCCTAAGTCACAAGCAATGGATGCATTTGCTCCAGCAATTGAGAACGATGAGTTTGAGGCATATCACTAATTGTTTCCAACCATTGGTGTTTACTGTCCCGAGGACCCCAACCAGCCCTCTCTACGAGACTGGCTTCAACTAACTGTTGTGGATTCTATTGACTGGTGTCATGTTTTGGTTTGACCACCTCTAGCTCTTCTCCAGCCTATGTCTGCTGACATAGCCTGTCTGTCGAGGAAGGCGATGACTAGGCATACGTAACACATTTCCTAACCATTTCAGTAGATGTAATTTCACAGCCTCGTCGATTGATTTCCCCTCCTTACCTAACACGCGACGGATGCCTAACCTCAATATTGCTCGCCTTATTATACCACCTGATACACACGGGAGATAGAACGCAGGCAGCTAGTGCTTTCATGTCTTCCACTCTAAATGTTTCACTCACAAAGGAGGATGGGGCGGACTGCTGAGCAGTACACCCGCCCTTTGGTCGATAGCCAACCAGTCGGATATCACGTCTATGCCAGAGACGGTGTAAACTGGTATATGCAAAGTAGCCTTCTGTATCCGTACTGAGATTTCGTTAGAGATCAACCCATTGGTACTAGCTGATGGTACTTTCCAAATAGATGAAGCGGTCGACGTGCTCTACCACATCACTCCCTATTTCTAAACGAGGAGTCAGTGTAGTCCAGTCCTGTAGCACCATCATCTTGCATTTGGTGGGAGCGAATCTCATGCCAAATATTAGTAGACTACAGCTCAAGACGTTCAGAAGACTCAACTCTATTCTGTCGGCGTCCTCGCCTAGGAGTCAGGACTATATCATTTGCATATTCTAAGTCAACGAGATTATTCCCTGGTAGCAAGCAAGTCAATCCCTGAGTCTCTAAAATTAGTTAGGGTTCAATCCATTAGTACATCTATGATGAAAATGAATCGAAATCGGGATAATGAGCATCCCTGACGAACACCACTATTCGTGTAGAGAATACAACTGCATTAAAAAGAAGTTTTCTTATAATTTGAATAAAGAGATGAGAAACATATTTGCTGGCAGGATATTACGAGCTCATATTATTTCGCAGGAGATTCTCTTCAGCTTCGCACACCTTAGCTAAATGATATGTTACAAAATGGTCTCTGAAAAATACTTCTTTTTACAATGACTTTGAGTTATAGATAGAATGTATAAGCATAAGCAACATAATTTCAAAGATGATATAAGTAGACAAATTAGTGTTAAAAGAGAGTAACTACTTATAATAGTTATTAGACAAGGCGGTTGAGTAGAGTTCAGATTTCGCTTGGAAATAAGGACGGAATAGAGACAAATTACAAGATAGAACAACACAGAGTGAATTTATACATATTATGGTGGAGAGTTCAGGAGATTAGAGGTGAATAGTAAAGCGGAATTACTACATAGACGAAAAAATTATTTGTAGATTTAGAAGTATAGTAGTGAGTACAACTCAAATCAAAATTAAGTGCAGTGTTAGGCAACAGAACAATGTAATTACAGTTACTATCATAGTGAGAGGATTCAGTCACACTATCTTTCTGTATGCGCATAGGTGTTGGGTCGAAGTCTTTTGATAGTGGCAATAGCTTTTGCGAACATAAGTAACTCTATTTTTCTTTGTCTATTGATTGATTATTTTGAAAGCCTGGCTTATTTCCACTGTGTATGACCCGTGTTTGTCAATTAGGAGGTGTCTAGCGACTTCAGTTGACAACTCTTTGCTGTCTTTCATAGAGGGAGACTTTTAGGGGGATATACACTCAGAGCATCCAGTGGACACTCTTCTCTTCTCAATCCTTCCTATGTACTTGAAGTTGACATGCAGAGCAGGATACTTATCTACTTTTCATTGTTCTTTCTTGAAAATGCTCATTACCTGCGTATATGTCATCATAGAGCAACGTGTCGGCACATAATCCAACTTTCTAGCATTTTGTTGCCATACTACTAATAAGTAGTACAGTGGAGGGAGTGCAAAAATATTTCACTTCACATCTGCAGAAGTTATAGTAACTGTACTATCAACACAATCATGGTTTACAAAAGCTATTTATTATTATTATTATTATTTGAATTTGACACTCTGTTGATGGATTTTTTTGTTTGTTTGTTCTAGGGCTGCCGCTATGTCATTACGTACTATACTTTTGTCTATACAAGCGTTATTAGCTTCCCCGGAACCAGATGACCCACAAGATGCAGTGGTTGCAAATCAATACAAGACAAGCATAGAAGCTTTTAATCGTACTGCACGCCATTGGGCAGCTATCTATGCCAATGGACCTGGATGTGATCCTCAGTGTGTTGATTTGGTTGGTAAACTTGTTCAAATGGGTTTTGATGAGGTGAGCACTCGATGGTGATTGTGGTAATTGGCTAATGTTTTTAAATCCATTCATGTGTTGTGTTGTATGCCAACTTGCATACTTTTGATTACATTTGACTGTAATACTCATTGTAACAATGAGGAATGTGTGTCCACCATACACACAACCCGGTGGCAGATATGTATTCATGGATAGATAGGTGGGAAAACGTAGCGATTGAAATGTTCAGCTCCACTCCAAAAGTATGGTGGAGGTATGTAGATGACACATTCACTGTCCTTAGAACACAAGATATAGATAGATTTTTGGAACATATTAACTCAAAGGTAGAGGCAATTCAATTCACTTGTGAATTGGGAAGTCAGGAATGGGAGCTTCCAATGTTAGATTGTAGCGTAAAAAGGAAAAAAGATGGGAAGTTAAACACTAGTGTGTGTCTATAGGAAACCCACACATTCAAACAGATATTTGGACTTCCAATTATCCCATCCTATGTCAGTGAAAATGGGATTGGTGAAGTGTTTGAATGACAGCACAAAAACTAAGTAGTATCAAGGAAAATCTAAGACAGGAAGTGAGGGATATAAGAGAAGTCTTGAAACTTGAAAATTACCCGGATAAATTAGTCAGGAAATATGTAAGGAAATGTAAAACTAAAATAAGTAATGATAGTAGTGATAGTCATAATAATATTAATAATAATGATGACATGCATGTCAAACATGCGCAAGATAATGACAACACCAACAATAAGGAATCTAAATCATCAGTAGTAATTTCATACAAGGAAGGAACCTCGAAAACCTTACGCAGAATTCTTAACAAGGCAGGAGTAAAAGTGGCTGGTATACAAATCAACCACAAACTCAATTAGAAACAAGCTTTGCCGGTTAAATGATCAATCTTGTGGAGCCTTTAAAACAAAGCAATTTAGTTTATCTAATACCCTGCCTGCAATGATTGTCAGGTCAAATACATAGGTCAAACTAGTAGAACAGGGGCAGTCAGATTAGCCGAACTTAAATTCCTAGCAGCGAAATCTAGATTAGTTGACCCGAATAAGATAAAAAATCTAGAGAATAGTTCAGCTATGGCAGTGCAGGACATGCAATAACACATAACCATACAATAGGATGGGATGGGATAAGATGACAGTTTTAAAATCTAATACACCTTACATGATGCAGGAAGAGACTGACAACTGAAGCGTTCTTTACCGAGTGAGTGATTCAGCACCTATTGCAGATATCTGGGAAATTCTACTACCCTTGAAACGACGACAAATAGGAGAAGACAAAGAAAACTTTAAAACTTAAGTTTCAAAGTCGTGTGATTATAATTGATGGCATGATTTTGAAGAATTAATTTTGTTCTAAACGTCATCTAGTAAATAATACTGTTTCACTCACTGTGTGATACATCTAATAATAAATAAATTAATATGGAACAGCCTACCTAATCTTCCCACATCATTTTAGTTTCCGGAATGATATTTCGTCCGACATTCTACGTAAGCACGTTAAGACAGTCGAGTATCAATCAGTCTCTACTTTCATGGCCTTAATCCCTCTATGTTAAAGTATCGTGTCCCCTAATCATATTTTAGCTCTACCAATTTTCCATTTTCAATTTTTTTTCATTTTGTCTATTCAATGTGTATACTCTTCCTTTCTCTTTTACGTCAATTGTTACTGCTACTATTACTATTCTCACTTTAAATTGTCCCCTCGTATTTTTTCACTCGTTCCACTTGTCATTCTAAATCAATTCTATTTTGTAGCGTTAAATTCCATGTTATCAAATTTTACACAATGATACGTAACTTTTTTAAATCTTATTCGATTTTGCCTACTAATCCTATAATTGCTCTTCTATCTCAACTTCATTGACTTTGAAAAGGCGTCTGTGGCACAGTGGTTAGGACTCTCGCCGATCATTCACATTGTCCGGGGTTCGATCCCCTGCCGACACACACACCTGATATCTATGGTCGGCCTGCGAAATTTGGACTACCGATATCACATGCTGAAAATTCCACACCTGTTCCGAAAAATACTGTGTAGAATCAAGCTGTAATAAAAAAGACTTGGAGGATCTGGACTTCGCCGATGATATATGTCTAAGTTCCCACAAATTGGAAGGTATGCAAATGGAAAGCGACACGTTGGCAATTGAAGAAGCATCAAAGGCGGTAGGGACTTCAAGTGAACATAGGGAAAACAGAGATGATAAAGATTCCTGGGCAACACCAACAGCAACAACAGCAACAGACAACAATCAGCATAAATGGGAGCAATCTGGAAGAAGCAACCTCCTTTACCTACTGACCTGGGAAGTATATTTTCAACTAGAGGCGGACGGAAGTGATGAGGATAACAATGCGAGGATCGGGAAAGCAAGACATGCTTTCATTACTCTTAAGTCTGTGTGGAGGTCAATAGCACTACTCAGCATGGAAAGTAAGATCCGAATTTTCAACTCCAACGTGAGGTTAGTCAGTGCTACTATACGGATCAGAGACTTGGACAGCGCGCCATAAAGAGCATCTCAAACAAACTACAGACCTTCGCTAACAGTTGTCTTCGCTCAATACTACTCAAGATCAGATGGCCGACCAGAGAAGATCAGCAACAGGGAGGGATCTTTGGCAATGAGCGAAACAACCCAGAAGGAATCGATGGAGGTGGATTGGCTGGCCATACTCTGAGAAAACAAACCATCAAGTGACATCACTAGACAGGCCATCGCTCGAGTGGAACCCTGAAAGGGAAGCGGGGAGTTGGTCGTCAGTGTGAGTGTGACTCGGAGGTGGTCATCTGAAGAGGAGAATGAAAGTATGTGGTCAGACCTGGAGCCAGGTGATGAAAACTTTAGCAGAGAACCGAACACAATGGAGATGTGAGCGGCTGAAGCCTTATGTTCCTTTAGGAATTAAAGGAAATAATAATAATAATCAATGCCCCCACCCCTTCCAAGTTCTATACATCCTATGAATTGTTCTATACACATGACATTTAACTGCAGTAAAAGTGATCATTAATAATGCCAACTTAGTTTCCCATCCTAATTTATTATTATTAGCGTTAATGGTATTATCAACATGATGTTTTGTTGCTTATTGTTTCTCTTTTCATCTTGTACTCTTCCAGCATGAAGCTTGTCGAGCTTTATCAATGAAAAATTGGGATATAGCCATGGCAACAGAACACTTAATTAAATGAATCAAAAGAAGAAAGGGGTGGTTATATATTTTATTAGTTATATAATGAAATTACTGTATAACTGAATGTTTTTTATTATTGGTTGTACACACACATGCACGCACATATTTGTGCATATATGTGTATGCACACTTCATATTCCCTTTTTATGTTCTATCGCTCTCTCTCTTCCGCTCTGTCTTCTATTATTACTATTATTATGATTTTCCTACACATACCTCCGCCCACTCCACCCACGCATCCCTTACATACACATACAAACAATGCAACACAAGATACGAAGAAGAATTGATTAACTCTTCCAGTATATATGTGGTGTAGGGGGTATCTCTTTGTATAAAAAATAATAACAATGATAAATAAAAACAACCTACTTTCACTTAGAAACCCTTCATCACGTTTTGCTGCTTTCTACAACCTAATATTGTTGTTGTTCTTCTTGTTGTTATTGCTGCTGCTGTTAGTCTTGCCGATGTTTTTCTGATTTTAATGGTGCTACTGCTACTGTTGGTGGTGAAGTCGAGAAAAAAAAGGCGTATCTCTATTTTTAGTTTATGTCCAAAATTTTCATGTTGTCCCTGTTGTTTTTTTGTTTTTCTCTCCTTTTCTTTGTTTTGTTTTTGTGTGTTTCATGTTTGTTTTTCTTTTCAGGTGAACCGTGTGAATGAGATTTGTTCTTTCTTTTGCAGCCTTGAACACACACACACACATACACACACGATGTATAATATAAATTGGTTTGGCATGTGATTTACTCCTGTTGTCAAATATGTTCGATGAGGCATGCCTGTCCGGGGGTGGGTATGGGTGTTGTGGTGTGGAGCGTTTTGACCACCACTTCACTTATTCGAGGGGAAGTTGTATCAGCCAACCAGTCCCACATCAGCGGGTTGATCGTTGATGGGATCTCAATGCGGATACAGAAGGCTCGTTTCGCATATGTAGTCTGTCTGCCAACATACGCGCTATCCGTGGCTTAGTAGACATGATATCCGGCTGGCTGGTTATCGAGAAAAGGAGGCGTATAGTGGTCAGCACCACTCCCCGCCGTTCTCCTTTATGGTTTTGAGCGAAACATGGCCATCGGAAGTGGAAGATATGAAAAGCCTGGCTGGCTGACTAGTCCCTAACTCGGGTCCGAAAAATTGAAAATTTCAAAAACGCTTCCAAATGATAAAGGGAGGCGTAAAACGTGTTTTGGTATCTGTAACCGTGGGGTTTTAAGCTTGTTTAGGCCCAATAGCTCCCAGCTAGGTTGTCTTGCTTATAACCCTAAAATCCTATAGTAAACACAGCATAAGCTATATAGACGATATGAGCATGGGTTAAATTGATCTTATGACTCGCTTATATGACTGTGTATGGTTTTCTGTAGTCTTGGCAGACGTATAGAAGCTGTTTGCATACTAAATCGGTTGGCAGGGATAACGATTTCATTAAATTTGGTGGCTGCTGGCTTCGTTTATAGGGGCCTATTGTCACTATTGCTTCGCCATGCGTGCTACTTTTGCATATAATAATACGTTTGGCTGGTCTTGTATACGAGATGAGTTGTATTGAGCTTGTCTATGCAGTGAATAATTGATTGACGCGATCAGTGACCGGCGTAACAGTGTTTACCTATGCATTACTATGTATACAAACGGTGCGAATGGTCCACTGAGGGAGAGGGCTCTTGAGTGGTTGTGCCACGGGATGATTCTGCATGCCGTTCTCGTCTCGCAAGAGGCAGGGATGAGTGTGTTTGGTCCTCCTGCAAACCAATACCCAGTCAATGGGTGTATCATGGTGTGAATAAACTGGTTGATTCTGCCAGTAGTCATATGCTTGTCTCAGAGATTAAGCCAGGCATGTCTAAGTACATACCTTAAAACGGTGAAACCGCGAATGGCTCATTAAATCAGCTATGGTTCCTTAGATCATATATACTACATGGATAATTGTAGTAATTCTAGAGCTAATACATGCAATTATGCCCTGGCCCGCAAGGGAACGGGCGCATTTATTAGAACAGAACCAAGCTTCAATCATAAATGCCTGCCTTTTATCTCCCATGCGTGTTAAGTGGTGGTATAATATGGTGAGTAATATTGAGGTTAGGTATCGGTGTTCCAGTGGTAGATAGGTGGGGGAGGGGAAATCAATCGACGAGGTAATTGTGAAGTTACATCGAGTGACAGGTAGTCAGGACATGCGTTGTGCATACCATCGAGCCATCGATGGTCTTCCCGGATGACGGGCAATGTTAGCTGACTGATGTAGGATGGGTGAGGTGGGAAAAGAGTAATCCACCTAGTGGTGATCAAACCAAAACATGGCATCATCAGTCGATGAAGTAAATCCACTACAGTTAGTTTAAGCCAGTCACGTTGAGAGGTGTAGACTTCGTGACTAGTCGCAATCCATGGGATGGTAAACACCAATGACATTTGGAGACAATGAGTGGTGATATGGCTCAAAATCGTTGATCTCAATCAGACCGGGGAGAGATGCATTCACTCTTTGTGATTTATCATATCCAATGAAACTCTGCTGTTCTTCCATGTTACTATTCGTTTTCCCTCTCTCACACTTCTGTTTATTATCTCTCTCTCTCTGTTGAATGTCTTTGAATAAAGCAAGAACAGCACTGGTGGTTTGTGCTGAATAATGTGGTACCATCATTGATTTGGTTGGCTTCTGATCAGCTCAGCTGCTTACAGCCTAAATAAATTTTGCCCTGACAGTTAGACTGAGTAAGGTAGGGAGATGCAGACTTCCGGGTTGGGGCCACCGGGACTCTAGGAATCAATGGCTGGAGACAATAGGTGACATGGCTCAAAATGGTTGTCAATGGCTAGCGCAGATGTATTCAGTCTCTGTAATCTTTCATATTCCTTTCTACCATTACCAATTCTGTTTCACTCTTATACTTGTCAGACTGTATTGATTCTCTTCACTCATCCTCTTGTCTACCTCTGTGTGCTATTTGTAACGTGGCAACTCGAACTGCTGCACTTCGATGCCAAGTTCTGTGTTGAATCCAGACAGACAGACAGAAATAAATTTTGAGGTTTAAGTACAGAAACGTTTTGACATACTTGCAAATTTTACATGTTGTCAGTTGACAGCAAGTTTTACAAATAGTAATCATTGCTCAGAAAATTGCGCTTATATAGTTTTTACACGGGCAGTTTAAGTTTAAACAAAATCAACGTATGCATATAATGGTAAAGGAGTTACGTAATAAAGATGAGATATGCGTTAGATGCATAGTGACTTTTAAGTTAGGTAACAATGTACTGAGTTCAACTCAAATCATAGAAACAAGACACAAGCAAAATTACAGATTATAAAAGGGGGTGAGGTTAAAGACAATGATTACGTAATCATATGAGAGAATAAAGACATCCAGTCACCAGGGAAAGGAAAGACTAATAACTGCTTCTTTCTGAACACATACATTTGGTTTCAAGCGTTTGATAGAAATTGCTTCGGCAAACTTGAGGGGAATGGAACTCCTTTGTCTATTGATAACTTTTAAAGATTTCTCGATGTCCACCTCATGACCCGTGTCGAGATGTCTGGCGATGGCCCTGTTTAAAGTATTTATTCCCTTTAGACGTAAGCTTTTTGGTACATGTTCAGAAAATCGTAGATATGTCCCCCTCTTTCTGTTCTCCCAATGTAACTGCTCCCGCAGATACATGTAAATTTGTATATACAGTTGGAGTTGTTAACATGAGAAGGATGGATATCTATCGATTTTTGATTGCACCAAAGGAGAGCAAGTTGTTCGATAGACGGGAACGAGCTTAGCTGTTGGATAGGCTCTGGCCAGTGATGTACTCAGCCTTCTGTGGATTATCGCTGCAATGTTTTCACTGATATAATCAAGCTGAATGTAGCTTGGCTTTTTACCCACTGTGATTTGTTTTACATTTGTGACTTCAGATCTTCCATACTTGTTGATGAACCTTTGAGGGTACCCATTGCTCTTCAGTGTCTTTTCAAGTAACTCAAATTCCTCTTCAAGTTTCTCTGCAGAGCATATTCTCCTAGCTCTATAGTACAGAGTCTTGACTAGTCCACGTTTAAAGCTATTTGAACAGAAGCTATTAAAATGTAAGTATTTTCCATTCCATGTAGGCTTTCGATAAATTGACTTCTGAAGACTACCGTCTTCTAGACGTTCCATGGCAATGTCGAGAAAGTGGAACTTTCCGTCCTTTTCATGTTCCATATTAAATACAAAATATTGAATGTCTCTTTACTCTCTTCCCTTGCTTTATGTGCTATAAGGAGGGGGGAGTGTTGCAACTGGAATTGCTGCACATCTGTGCAAAGTTGTTCCATGTTGAAATCAACTAGTCAGTTCGTTAGTCAAAGGTAATATTAAGCATGTGTCAGTGTTTTCATAACTGCTTTCTTCCTTCCTAACGGCACTGAGTAGTATTCACAGTACAATTGGACTAGCTAGATGATTTCAGGCGAAAAGAAAGAAACAAGAAGTGTTCTGCATACAGGAAACATTTTAAATTTTTGGGAAATGTAAGAAAAAACAACCTATTTATATCTCATGTCTATACAAAAATGCGTTTTGTTAGAAGTGTTGAGATTACATCAAGCGGAGAAATCATGACTACTGTTCTAGTACTTGTTATGTTTTGAAGTGCTTTCATTATTATTATTATTATCCTGTAGATTGATTGATTGACTGACTGATTGATTAGTGATGCATAACTTCAAGTGGATGTTCTGCTACTATGTCTGGTTTTTCCTCCTTTGAAAATTCATATTAATATGATATATGACTTTACTTGCACAGAGGATTTCATCATGAGCTGACATCAGTTAGAGAACCATTGGAAAACCAGCTACAGGGAGTACTGGACCTCTGGCTGTTTCGTCAGTCTAGTTTGGGACTCTTCATCAGTACGCACTCGCCGCCAGGGTTTGAACTCCGGGACCTTCTGGTTACAAAGCTACCTAGCTCGTAGACCATTGAGCCACTGGGACTCGATCCGATGAATTCCAACTACCGCCAATTCACGACATAGTGCGAGCATTTTGCAATGTCTTCTTCGATGAGTTACTGTCTCATCTTCAACTTGCTTCTGCACCCTACTTGCCACGGCTTCCCGCTAGAACCCCAGGTAACTACCCATCTGAATAGGGCAGTCACTTACTAGTGAGTACCATATATTAATTTTCAAGTATTGGTTTTGTAGGGATTTTGTGTTTGACTGCATGGAGGATTTCATCATAAGCTGACATCAGTTAGAAAATGGAAGTTAGAATTCAAGGACCATTGGATCGGGTCCCAGGGGCTCAATGGTCTACCAGCTCGCTAGCCTTGTAACCAGAAGGTCCTGGGTTCGAACCCAGTTGGGGTGGGTGCGTACTGACAAAGAGTCCTAAACTAGGCTGAAGAAACAGCCGGATGTCCAGTACTCCCTGTAGCTGGTTTTCCAATGGTTCTCTAACTGATGTCAGCTCATTATGATGAAATCCTCCATGCAATCAAACAAAATCCCTACAAAATCATTACTTGAAAATATGACTTTACTGTTGAATACTACAAGTCTTTATATTTGTGTCTGCTTTCATTGTGTCAAGCGACTGAAGCAATCGGCTTTTGGTTGGTTTGTTGCCAACCAGTGTTTCTTGTTGCCAAATCTTTCTGGCCAGCCAGCCAGTTAGCCTGTCGACCAGCCATTTGATCTTCAGTGTAGAGCCAGCCAACCAGCGAATTGGGCAGCTGTTGTTGATAAAAGTCTATAACATGTTG